GTGGATATATTGTGGTTTATATGTGGATGTTTTTCTGTTGAGTCAACTGTATGCATATTTTTAACTTTAGGAAATAATGCCAAACAGCTTTTCAAAGCACTTATACTGATTTACACTTTCACCAGCTGTCTATGACAGTTCTGGATGTTCACCAACACTCAGCTTTGTCAGTCTGTGCTGGATAACAAAGCATCCCCAAATTTGAAACAGGAATCATTGTCTTTCACAATTCTCTGGGTTCACAATTCCTCTGGGCAGGTACACTTCCTCTTTTTCATGATTAATTATTTATTTTTGGTTGTGCTAGGTCTTCATTGCTACTCTTGGACTTTCTCTATTTGTGGCAAGTGGGGGCTACTCTTCATTGTGGTGTGTGGGCTTCTCATTGTGGTGGTTTCTCCTGTTGCAGAGCACAGACACTAGGTGCACAGGCTTCAGTAGTTGCAGCTCAGGCTCAGTAGTTGTGGTGTCTGGGCCCCAGAGCTTGCAGGCTTCAGTAGTTGGAGCTCAATAGTGAGGGCTCAGTGGTTGTGGCCCACAGGCTTAGTTGCTCTGCAGCATGTAGAACGTTCCCGGACCAAGGATCGAACCCATATCCTCTGCACTGGCAGGCAGATTCTTATCTACTGTACCACCAAGTAAGTCCTCTAATTCTTTTATAGGCTGGAGTCATTCATATGGTTGCATTTACCTAGGAGCTCAATTGGAACTGGAATACCTGAGTTGGCTTCATTCACACACCAGGTACTCTGACTTGGGTGGCTGAAAATCTAGGGGCTGGGTTCAACCTCTGTCTTTTCATGTGGTCTCTCTTCATTCAGTAATCTAGTCTAAGCTTACTTACATGGAAGCTACATCTCAAGATGCAAAAAGAGAAAGCAAGTCTTAAGGCCTAGGACCAGAAGTCATTAACCATCACTTCTACAACATTCTAGTGGTTAAAATAAGGCAGTGCTAGTTCAGATACAAGGGGAAGAAGGTCAATAAGACTCAACTTCTTGATGGAAGAACTGGGATGGGAGCAATTATTCTTGGCCATAGGTACAGACAGTATACGACATCCCACCCTCTGGTCATGATTCACATGCCTTTCACAAGCAGAATACAATTACTCCATCCCAGTACACCCAAAGTTTCATCCAAGTTCATCTAGATTGGTAAGATTTTTATTGTTGTTACGAACAGGAGTTGAAGCTTATCAAATGCACTTCTGGGGGAATTCCCTGGTGGTTCACTGGTTAGGGCTCTGTGCTTCCACTGCAGGGGCACAGTTTCGATTTCTGGTTGAGGAACTAAGATTCTGAATGCCACATGGAACAGCTGGAAAAAATGCACTTTCTGTATTTACTGAGATTTTTATGATTTTCTCCTTTGTTTTATTGATAATAAGTACATTCATTTTGTAATATCAAACTAAATTTATGTTCCAAGAATCAGTCCAAATTGGTGGTGACATGTTAACTTTTTCATATATTGGCGTGTTGGGTGTTCTAATATTTTGATTAGGATTTTTGTTATAGGATTATGTTTACGATAATAAACCTATAATATTCCTTTCTTATATGGTCTTTGTTGGGTTTTGGTGTTAACGTTATGTTGACTTCATAGAAGAACTTGGAAATAATTCCCAATTTTCTATTCTCTTGAATAAGTTCAATTGATATTTTTTCCTTAAGTGTTTTGTAGGTACAAATATTGGCTCCAGGAGTAGGGTACTGCCATACAAGCATCAATATATTCCACATTATGTGGCATTAACATCCAATATAGCAGCATGAACTTGTTCTTGGGAACTTGGACTGTTAGCAATCCATGTCACCAAAAAAATGTGTAGAACTATATTCTAGAATAGCTTAAAGGGCATATTATATACCTAATAAGTTTATACTTTATGCAAAGAGGTAGAAAATGACTTATTATAATGAGTCTGTTATTACTGGCTGCATTTGCCAAGGTACTACCAGAATTAAAGGAACTCAGAAGAAAAAATTTGTCTGGTTTGTAAGCAGGAATGAAAAGGAATTCAGAGACAACAAAAAAACTCAGATACCTGCATCTGAGTGGAGGTACAACTGAGTCGCACATTCAACCAGCAGAGAAGCAACAGAGAAACGCTCTGAGAAACAAAGGCTGCTTAAAACTCGGCATTGCAGCAAGACCGAGTCAAGAAGAAAATGGCTGTCACAGCACTATAGGATCTCTGAATGGAATAAGGTGGTACCCAGCATATACTTTCACAGCTGGGAGCATATCTCAAGAAGAGACTTAGAGTTTAGTTCTTCCCAAGGAAAGTCTGATTAGGCTCATAGTTGTTGTTCAGTGGTTAAGTTGTATCTGACTCTTTGAAACCCCATGAACTGTAGCACGCTAGGCTTCCCCATCCTTCATTATCTCCCAGAGCTTGCTCAAACTCATGTCCATTGAGTCAGGGATGCCATCCAACCACCTCATCTTCTGTTGCCCCCTTTTCCTCCTTTCTTCAGTCTTTCTCAGCATCAGGGTCTTTTCCAGTGAGTTGGCTCTTCATATCAGGTGGCCAAAGTATAGGAGTTTCAACTTCAGCATCAGTCCTTCCAGTGAATATTCAGGATTTATTTAATCTAGGATTGACTAGTTTGATCACCGAGTCTTCTTCAGCACCAAAGTTCGAAAGCATCAATTCTTCGCCCTTAGCCTTCTTTACTGTCCAGCTCTCACATCTGTACATGACTACCAGAAAAACCATAGTTTTGACTATACAGAAAGACAGAGACAAGTCTCTAAACAGTTGTGAACATAGCACTGCCTGAATTCAAATAATTTTAAATAAATATTAAGAAATCAGTATTGTCAAAGGAGTCACCTACATGGTCGAAAAGAGAATGTGACTGAGACTAAAAAATGACAATCGAGATCCAGCATTCTACATCAGGATCTCAGAATGCTATGGATTAACTCTTTTATATACCATTCTTATCCTTTACAAATGGGAATACTTGTTGAAGCTATCCTTTAATTGTTCTACCATTTTATATGTATCTTGTATGTATGGGGGCTTCCCAGGTGGATCAGTGGTAAAGAATCTGCCTGCAGTGCTGGAGACCTGGGTTCCATCCCTGGCTCAAGAAGATCCCCTGGAGTAGCAAATGGAAACCCCCTCCAGTATTCTTGCCTGGGAAATCCCATGGACATATGAGCCTGGTGGGCTACAGTCCATAGTGTCACAAAGAGTCAGACATGGCTGAGCACGCACGCATAGTGTGTGTGTGGGCTAGGCCAGATAACTTTTCTTTTTAGTTCAGAGATCTGTAGGTCAAGAGTATATCTTGGTCTGTCATGACTGTTATGAATCATTTCTATCTCCTGGAATCTAAGCTAAAAGTATTGATGAAAAATAAAATAAAATATTGTTGAGATATAACTTTAGGGTTGTCTGCTTTGGGGAGTGGATGAGTATGTTCTGCACATAGGAAAGGAAGGAAGTTGACCCAAAGGGTGAACTGTGGTAGACTGTATTATTCTTGTATAATCTGCTCCCCTTGAATGTGGCCTGGATTTAGCTACTTTCTTTTACCTAATAGAATAGAGCAAAAGTGATGTAACCACTTCTGAGGTTACAAAGAACCTGTTTTTCCCTCTGTGTATCCTCTCTTGCTTTTTCATTTGCTTACTCTGATGGAAGCCAACTGCCATATGAATTGCCCTATGGAGAAGCCCATGTGGCAAGGAAAACAAGGGATTCCTCCACCCAACAGCTCATTAGCAACTGAAACCTGGCTTCAACCACATGAATGAGCTACAGATCCTTCAGAGGAGGGACTTCCCTGGTGGTCCAGTGGCTACTCCATGCTCCCAATGCAGGGGGCCTGGGTTTGATCCCTGGTCAGGGAACTAGATCCCCCATGCCGCATCAAACATCCCATGTGCTACTGGGAAGACCTGGCACAGGCAAATAAGTTTTAAAAATCCTTCAGATGAGACTGGAGTCCTGGCCAACACCTGGATTGCAGCCTATGGGAGACTGTGAAGCAGAGGGACACCTTGTGGACTGAATTATGTCCCCGCAAAACCCACATGTCGAAGCCCCAACCCCCAGTGTGACTATATTTGGAGATAAAACCTATAAAGAGGTAATAAAAGTTAAAAGAGCTTATAAGGTCGGAGGTCTTAATCCAATTGCACTGATGTCCTTATAAGAAGAGGAAGAGATACCAGAGCTCACCCCCACCCCCACCCCAAACCCACATGTGCTCAGAATGAAGGCCTTGTGTGAACACAGCAGAAAGGCTGCTGCTGCAAGACAGGAAGAGAGGCCTCACCAGAAACAGCATGTAGATCTTAGACTTCCAGCCTCCAGAACTGTGAGAAAATAAACTTGTGTTGTTTATGCCCCATCCCCACCCCAATCTGTGGTATTTTGTAATGGCAGATCTAGTACCTTAACAATACTATACCCCACTAGGTTGTGTGTGGATTTCTGACTCCCAGGAACTTTGAGATAATAATAACAGTTGTTTTGAGCTGTTAAATTTTAGGATAATTTTCCATGCAGCAATAGATCATTAATATATTAGTCTAATTTTTCTCTCCTTATCTTCTGACTTATGCCTTCAAAAGTTGGGTAGGGGTAGGGCACTGGTGGGGTGCATCCTCTTTGAGCCTTTCAGATTGCAGAGAAAGAAAAAGTCAGTATTCATGGCTAGTAAAGAATCATTCCAATTTTTGAGTCAGTTTCCCAGCAAAGTAAAAAACAACTCTGGTTTGGATTCATATTTCAGTGCAAGTAGTTGAGGAGAGAATAATTTCAATGATTTAGAGTTCATGAATTCCCTGTACATATTTGTATGGATATATATATATATCTAATTATATTTATATAAACAAATCTATATAGATGAATTGCTGTAATTCTATTATTCCTATAAGGACAGCATTGATATACTGGATCTAGGTGATCTTAATTAAACATTTATTGAAATCAATGTATATTTTCTAGGACTGGACAAAAATAAGTTGCTGAGATGTCAGCTGGGAATTCTCCCAGGGAAAGCCTGGAAATGGAGAGCTTCCACACAAGATTCAGTGCCTGGACACCTTTCAGCAACAAGTCATTAAATCGACAGGTGAGTCACATATTCTAGAATAAGATAAGATTAAATTCTAGGGTGACGTTTACTATGATATATTGGGTCTCATGTTACCATATTTAAAATAAATGCTTGTAAGAACTTAGTATTTGAGTCACTTTAAACAGAAATGAACATACATTTGTCTGCCCCAAAGATAATCTCTCTTCACCCCAGTTCACAACTCCAGTTTTATGGAAGGCACAAGACCTGCCCCCACTTTTGTCCTGTTTACACCTCAGGAAACAAAATCGAAACCTCCAGGACACACCCTGATTGCTTTAAGGGTGGTGTTTTGGTGTGGAGGGCATTAGTGTGTGTATTTCTTTAATTCTGTCTTCCCTCTTGTGCCTACTGCACAGTTCCCTGGGGCCTGAGCATTCCCCCTCCTTTGAGAGGTAGTCACTGGATGGCCCAGGCAGCTCTGCCAGGCCTCCATGGAGGAGGCTGCCTGGGTACTCAGAGCTCAAGCATGGCCCAGGCTTGTTCACAAAATAAAGAGACCAGACAGGCTGGGAGCAAAGCCTGACTAGCAGTAATAGCCATGAGTTTATGTATGTCATCTAAGCCAACCTGGACTGAGGTCCTGGTTTAGGGGCACACTGGTCCTGGTGTATGTCTTTTGTGGAGACACTCCTAACAAAGGTTACTCAGTAATATTTACTAACTTTCATTTTGGTGGGTGTTAGGAAAATGTAGGACTCTGGCTTAGTAAAATCACACCTACTCCACATGGCCCTGTTTTCACAATTAAGCAAGTAGCTGGTATGTATTTTCAAGATGAAATGTTTGGGATCTGTTTCTCCGTACTACACTAGTTTAGGTAGAAACAAGAGCGAAGATTCATTACTTCTTTGCACCCTCCTTGGGCGTCTCTGTAATTACGTTCCCACCTGCCTGCCCAGCAAGCCTGGGCTTGCCTGCATCCCTGAATAAAAAGCAGTTTAAGCTGAAGGGAAAGACCCTTACTACAATGTGAAAGTGCTTTATGAACTGTAACGTGCAAAGCAAATATTAGCTGTGAGGTTGTTAGGTTGCTTATGTCTTGCTTAGCAACTTAGAATATATTGAACTATAAAGGAAAATGTCATTTCTCCCCCAACTTGTAGCTCTTTCAGGAAAGAGTTGCTCTTATAAGTCACTGGTTTGATCTCTGGACTAACAAGCAACGTCAAGAATTCTTATTCACGATTTTTTTACGATGCACTAAATCACAACTCAGGTAAATGTAGCCTAATGATGTAATTATCTTAAAGAAAATAAATAGTATACATTGCTCATATAACCTTTAAGAGTGTCCCTTTTCCCTAGAGAAAAACAACACAATTGATATTTTAAGGTTTATAAACAACCTTTTTCTAGTGCTGCGTCCTCTTTGAGTGTGAAATGGAGCCCTGGGGAATTTGAACACCTTCATACCATAGTGGGATATTTGGTTTTTGCAAAAAGTTATAAGTAGCTTCAGCCAGTGAATCTTTAACAATCCCTTAGTATACTAAGTTCTCCTTGAAACTATCAGATAAGGTATTTCAAGTAGGTGCTCCAAATATTTGTTACATGAGTGATAATTGTGAAGTCACTCAGTCGTGTCCGACTCTTTGTGACCCCATGGACTGTAGCCTACCAGGCGCCTCCATCTATGGGATTTTCCAGGCAAGAATACTGGAGTCGGTTGCCATTTATCTGAGAAGTGACAATGGCAGCAACAATTAGAAATATGGGAAGGACTTGTACAGCAGTGATTACTTATTAACAAGTCCTGAGTTTTAATTGTTTCCCATACATCCTATTATATCTGTAATTTATTTTAAAATACTCCAGCATGGCTGATGTGACATGTGAAAGGGTTCACTGCAATTGCACCCAGGGGCAGCTAGTGTTCTAATCAAGAGTTAGTACTTTGGGTTGGTTAGCTAGCCACTGTATTGAAAAGGTTAAAATATCTTAGTTATTACCAGATACATTGCTAAGTAGCATATCAAATATCAGACATTAGTTTTTCTCAGAGCAACTTGTGGCATAGCTTGCTGGATGAATGCTAGGAATGGCCTGTCTTTGGTGAAATTAAAGGTATTCTGATATGTGGCCTAACCAAGATATTCTAGAGTGCCCTCCGGCATGCCTGGTTGAAGAATCCAGCCAGGCTGGTAGGTGCTTATAAGGATGAATTCATCTCCCAAAATATGGCCTTGTCTGCCTGCGGAATCTCTGAAAGCCTTAGGGCAACAACAAGGGTAGTGATAGAATCCTGTTTCTGGAACATTGTTATTTCTCAGTTGAGTGAACCTTTCACCCAAGGGTCAGAGAGCTGGGATTTCATCAAGCCCACAGAGGAGACTACATGAAGTGGTGAGGTTGGGAGGACCGGCCAACCTTTGGAATTCTTAGGTAGTGACCCAAAAGTGCCTAAGAGTTGTGCAAGACCAAGCTGGCTAATTTTAGTTTCTAGCATCTGCTTCTCACTCTTTCTTACCCTTCCGCCCGCCCCATTTCTTTCAATCAGCCATTTCTTCTCTTCTGCCTACGAACTCCCCTTCTCTGCTGCCAGCTTTCTGTTTATCCGTGGGCCCATAATGGGTTATCCCTGAAGGAGTCACTGGAGGGAGACGGCCATCTTCTCCCATTAACAGACTGTGTTGAAAGAGGCTGCAAAGACAGGTCACAGAAAAAGAGGCTCTTCAGTCAATGCTTAAGAATCAGGGGGAAGGGACATTCTTATGGTAGTTATTGGCTAGGTTTCCTTTGGCTCCAGCTTTGCAGCTTTCAAGATAAGAAAATAATAGACCCAACCCTTATATCCATAATTGCTTTGTGAGCCATCACATTCTAGCCTCATGCACCACAAAGTGAGCAATTTTAGTTGTAACCACTGGAGGTCATTAGTGATCTTGTAGTATACTTTGAGGCTCAATAACATTAGGCCTGACATTGTTTCACTGGAAACTTCATCCATTGTCTGGTACCTGAATTCTTCTTACTCTAGGACAGGGATATAGAACCAGTTCACTGAAATTTCTCTGCTTTGTTGGACAGCAGTTTCTGCAGAGTGTGTATTTCATAGTCCCATGAAGCTGTTATTACATGTTCTGGGCTAGTGATTTCAGGGGAAGCTGCATGTCAATTTTTAGTCTCTGAGTTTGGCATCCTGAAACCAGAATCTTTAATTTGCAGTGGTGATTTTGTTGGTGAACATCAGTCAGTTCATTCCCCACAGTCTGGATGAAGTCTCTCTTACACAACTTCCTCCCATCTTTTTTGGTCAGTCATTTCTTCTTTCTTACAGACAGCTGTAGATACCATGTGTGGATGGTCTAATCTAATTTGAGCTATGCTTGATTTTAAGTAAATGTAAATGACCAACTCATTTTCATTTTTAGCCTAAAGTTAATATGATAAATTTTAAAGCATCATTATTGAAATGTAATCCACATACATAAAACTTATCCATTAGAAGGACACAATTCAGTGGATTTCGTACATTCCCCGAGTTGGGCAACCATCAGCACAATCTAAGTTTAGAACATATCCATCAACCACAAAAGAAACCTCCTTTCTATTAGCAATCACTCTCCATTCTAACCCCCCTCCAATTCCAGCCAATTCCAATTCCTCCAATTCCATGTACAACCACTAATTTATTTTCTTTCTCTATAAATTTGCCTATTCTAAACTTTTCATATGAATGGATTCATACAATATGTGGCCTACTTTCATACAATGACTGCCTACTTTCATAAATTATAATGTTCTCAAGGTTTACATTTTTATCATGAAATAATACTCCATAATATGGATATTCCATATTTTATTTATTCACCAGTTGATGGAATTTGGGTTGTTTCCACATTTGACTACTGTAAATAATGCTACTGTAAATATCACTTTATAAGTTCTTCTCTATGGATGCTTATTTCTTTTAGGTGTATAGCTAGAAATGGAGTTGCTGAGTCAAATGGTAACCCTAGAATCAACTTTTAACTATTGTTTCTTCTGAATTTTGTTTACTCCTCTAGTCCCTATTCCCCCATAACTATGAATAAGCTTGTGACTAAATGAGAGAATTTAGTGTTATTTGAATGCCTGAACACTTTGTATGTAAGCTTAGTTAACTTTGTGTAATACCTTGTTTTCAAGACAGAGAAGCCAAAGTTTGAGATGCTTTGTTTTATAATTTCTGAATAACTTTGTTTTAATTCAGGCAGTTATAAAACTTAAATAGGCTATTGCAGTATTGGCCAGAAATATGTTGTCACAGTTTTTATTAAAAGTTTATTCTTAATCTGTAGGAGATATATTCACATATCTAATATTTTCTGTCCTAATAAATATTCCATGTTGTTAAGAGTTTGGAATTTTTCTTATAATATTTATGACATTTTTCAAAGGTTCACCTTCTTAAACCTTCCCTCTGTCAAGTTTTCCCTCTCAACTTAAATGTCACCTCTGTGGGAAGAGATGTCCTCTTTGTGCTCAACTTTCACCCCATGATTTTTACCAACCTCTTTCATGGCATTTCCCCCAACCTCCCATACATTATGCTTATCTGGCCACATGTCTGATGATTTCCAGTGGCGTTGTCCCCCTGCCTCTTGCCTAGGCTGATCTTTCCTGTGACTCTTTGAAGGAAACTTGGCTGTTTGTGTCTGTCATGCTTGGAGGAACCTATGAGACATTTGAATCAGTCTCCTAGTCACACTGGTGGGACTGGTTTCAAATTGCTTCTGTTCAGCCAAAGGTAATACCTCCTACAAAGACCTTTCTTTCTGGGGTTGGAGCTGTTCAAGCTTGTAGCTTTTCCTGGTGGGTGGGGCAACATTCATGATTCACGTAACTGCATTCCCAAGACTTGAGAGTCACTTGGACTGCAAGGAGATCAAACCAGTCAATCCTAAAGGAAATTAACCCTGAATATTCATTGGAAGGACTGATGCCGAAGCTGAAGTTCCAATACTTTGGCCATCTGATGTTAACAGTTGACTCATTGGAAAAGACCCTGTTACTGGGAAAGATTGAGGACAAGAGGGGAAGGGGGCGACAGAGGATGAGATAGTTGAATGGTATTACTGACTCAATAGACGAGTTTGAGCAAATTCCAGGAGATAGTGAAGGACAGGGAAGCCTGGTGTGCTGCAGTTCATGGGGTCACAAAGAGTCAGACATGACTTAGCTACTGAACAACGACATTCCCAAAACATGGATGGAGTGTGTGTGTGTGTAGGTTGGGGGGGGGGGGGAGATCACAACCAAATAAAGATTAGGTCCTGTCACTCATCTCCATCAGAGTCACCTGGAAATGGGGTTGGAGGGCAGAAAAATGTACCAACCCATGTATAATTAAGAGGGAACATCCCCTCTTACTCTTATCTCAGTACACCCACCCACCCCCCCACCCAAGGAGTTCCTTGGAGGACTCAGTTGAGGATATCTGTTTCTATTGTAATCTCTGAGGAAATCTAGTTCATAAACTTTTTCAGAGACAACAGACTTCTAGATTATCCTTAAATATAGAACAACTATACCATGCTGAATTACTGCTGTCCATTTGAAAGGAGGATATTTCTGTGTGGAGTTGGTGGAGAGGAGGGGGTAGTATTTAGAGACACATTGTTTTCTAAATATCCAAGACAGGTCTGGAAATGTGGGTCATCCTGCTTCTTCTCTCTCATCAGCTTCATATTCTGGATATACTGGGTTGGCCAAAAAGTTTGTTTTGAAAACCCAAATGAATGTTTTGGCCAACCCAATATTTCTACCCTTTCACATAGATCAAATGGTTATGGACAACCACAGGAAATATCAGTATTTGTTTTGGGGGTGGCTTTTAGGGGTGGATGAAACAAAGAAAGAAAATCCTGAAGTTTAAAAGGAAAGGAGAATATGAACTATATAGTATATGGCCTATACAGTCCATGGAATTCTCCAAGCCAGAATATTGGAGTGGGTAGCTGTTCCCTTCTCCACGGGATCTAGGTCTCCCGGCACTGCAGGCAGATTCTTTACCAGCTGAGCCACCAGGGAAGCCCAGGAATACTCAAGTAAGTAGCCTATCCCTTCTCCAGGGAATCTTCCCAGCCCAGGAATCAAACTGGGGTCTCCTGCATTGCAGGTGAATTTTTTTTTTTTTTAAACAAGTTCAGCTACCAGGGAATCCCTCAAGAAAGAAAATCCTGAAGTTTAAAAGGAAAGGAGAAACCTAAACCCAAAGCTTTTTTACCGGGTAGG